TGCATTCAGTGCTATAGTGCATGCATTGGACAAGAGATGTGCAATATTGCATATAACATTAATGCTTGAAACAAAAGTCATACTTTACATTGCATCAAAGTTAATGCAATTTGACAATGTCTGATCATGGAGCTCCATACCAGTCATACTTAGGTCGTGGGCTGCCATGTTTTGTTGACAATTGCAGATATTACGATAAAACACATATTTTCCACTTAAACAGACGAGACATGTAAGTATATAAACTGAGTATTCAATGAATGTATGTAAAACAATTGATATAATTCATTGGTGGAAGAAGGCAGGGATTCTAACAAATACAATTTTCCATGCCACGTCCGCCGAGGGTGTTGTGCTTTGGGACATGACCGTGCACATGACTGTGTTCTAGGGCGATTTTGGTTCTAGTGGCGATTTATGTCAAAACCACGAACCAAAAAAACCATGGACGCTCTCGTACCGTGACGTCCATGATGGTCTGACACACACTAATGTGGTTCCCATCATGTCTTCGATGTATACTTAATAGACCGGCCCAGTATAATGCTATATCACCGTACTCACACTGATATAGGGTCGGTTAGTTTACTTACTTACCCTGTATTCAACATAATGGCACTGTTTCAAATATTGCAGTCGACAAGTAGCAATGAACTGTATACTACGCCCTCACGACGACTTCGCTGTGTATGATTGTTTGTAGTTTGAGTTCTCCACGAGCTTTGACATATCAAAGGTCACGTGATGTATTCTGGTGAGCGCTTACGCCACAGAGCTGGAGGTGCAATGTGATCGATCACCGCAACAGGTATGTGTGATATTTTTTAACCAAATAACTGTAATAACACACGAGGTATGTCGGCACAGATCTAGAAGCAGTACCTACACACGAATTGGTGACGTCATAAAATACATGACCTTCAATCGGGGTCGTTTCCTCGGTATATACGAATTGGTATATACAAATTACAATAAAGATACTTAAGACATTACACATAAGGTAAAACAAATCACGTGACAATATAATGATAATAACGGTAATAAATCCTAGCTTAACAGTTGAACAGAACGCTCATATAGTCAGTCGGGTGACGCCGAGGGTCACGAACTGTGTTGCAAAATGGCCGTGTGGTTGAAACTGGGTCATGGCGTGACGGGTGAGGAAGACATCATTAAACACTCAAAATCACAATAAAACGGGGAAGTGGTTGCATATTACGGCGTAGCTAACATGGAAAATAAAAAAACGCCCAATACAAACGACATGGGTTCGAATCACACTAGATACACACTCACCAGAACCGAAGCAATCAGAAACCAGCAATCGTTTTGGCTTTTCCGTTCAACTCATCGGAACACTGGAGTAGTTAGAAAAATGAACACCACTTAACGACCAACGTCGTGGCGTGGTACACAAGCGTGCCATCAAAATAAAACAAAATTAGCTTGAAAAGACAGTGGGTTCGAGTCCCGCTCAGAGCTACCGTAAAAACGTAAAT